TAACTAAAAAGAATTGGCACATGCAATATGTGATAACATGAGAACTCAGGGCCATTCATTGAAAATTTAAGTGAAAAAAATTAATAGAGAAGTGTTTAGTTTTTTTAGATTTCACGAAAAAAAAAGTTTGTGATTAACAAAAAATTTGTGCAATTTTAATTTGGTAAACGTTTTTTAATATCATTTTTAAATTTTTAACTATGTACTTATTTTTTTTTTTTAATTTTGACGAGTTCACTTAAAGGAATAGTTTAAGTAAAAAAAATTTTATGCATAATTAACTTTTTTTATCTTTCTTTATCAAGTACATCATAATTAATTATCACAAATACAGTGATATTGTGATTTAAGATCTTTGTATTCTACTTGAGGTTTAAACTTCACTAATAACATAAAACTCGTCAATTTATGAGTATATTATAAACTAGTGATAATCAGATTGTAACATCTGATTCCACAAGACTTATAACTTAGTTCATTAATATATTAATGAGATTGTCATGATCAACTTGAGCTTTGTCTCAGCGAGCTTTGACGTGTCGAGTGAAGAAAAATTCTACATCGACTAAATTTCTTAGTTGATACCCTGTAAAGAACTAAAAAAAAAATTGTCACACGTCATATGTGATGGCATAAGAACTCAAGACTGCTCATTGAAAATTTTAGTCAAAAAGTTAAAAGAAAGTGTTCCATCTTTATTAGGTGACCTCATTTTTAAACATCCAATTATTGGCTTATACATTGGAGCTTATATCAGTGTATGACATGACTACTATTAGATTTCAAAGACAAAAAATTTGCAATTACCAAAACGTCTTTGCAATCTTAATTTGGTAAATATTTTCAATACCATGTTTTAATTTTTCAATTTTGTACTTGTATTTCCTTTTCAAATTTTAACGAGTTCACTTAAAATAGTAGTTTAAATAGAAAAGTGTACAATAATTAGTTACCACTAATACAGTGACCTTATGATTAAGATTTTTGTGCTCTACTTGAAGTTTACTAATTCAAATCTCACTGATAACGTATAACCTATCATTTATAAGTGTATTATAGGTTAATGGTAATCAAATCGTAGTATTTAACTCAACAAGATTTATGACTTAATTCATTAATATATTAATGAGACTGTCGTGATCAAGTTAAATTTTTTCTCAACAAGTTATAATGTGTCGAGTGAAGAAAAATTCTACAACAACTAAATTTTCTTAGTTGATACCTCATAAATAACTAAAAAAAATTTGACATATGTCATATGTGATAGACATGAGAATTTAGGGATGCTCATTGAAAATTTTAGTGAAAAAAGTCAAAAGAAAAGTGTAATCTCTTTTTTAGGTGGCTCCATTTTTTAAACATCCAATGGTTTACACATTGGAGCTTATATCAGCATGTGATGCAATTACCAAAAGGTCATTGATATCTTAATTTGCTAAACATTTTCAATACCATTTTAAATTTTCAATTATGTACTTGTTTTTTTTTTTCTAATTTTGAAGAGTTCACTTAAAATAATAGTTTAAATATAAAATTATTTATGCATAATTAATTTCTTCTATCTTTGTTTCTATTAAATATATCATAATTAGTTGCAACTAATACAATAATATTGTGATTAAGATTTTTGCACTTAATTTGAAGTTTGTTGGTTCAAATCTTACTGATAACATATAACTCGTCAATTTATAGGTGTATTATAGGCTTATGGTAGTCAAATCGTAACATCTAATCCAGCTAGGCTTATGACTTAGTTCATTAATATGTTAATGAGATTGTCATATTTAAGTTGAATTTGTCTTCAGCAAGTTATGACGTGTCGAGTGAAGAAAAATTCTACAATAGTTAAATTTTCTTAATTGATACCTTGTAAAGGACTAAAAGAAATTGACACATGTCATATGAGATGGCATGAAAACTCAAGGTTATTGAAGATTTTAGTAAAAAAGTCAAAAGAGAAGTGTTGTCTTTTTTAGGTGGCTCCATTTTTAAGCATCCAATCATTGGCTTACACATTAGAGTTTATGTCAACATATGATGCAATTACTAAAAGGTCCCTGCAAGCTTAATTTGGTAAATATTTTCAATACTATTTTTAATTTTTTAATAATATACTTTTTTTTTTTCTAATTTTGACGAGTTTACTTAAAATAGTAGTTTAAATAGAAAATTATTTGTGCGTAATTAACTTCTATATTTGTTTTTATTAAATATACCATAATTAGTTACCACTAATATGATGATATTGTGATTAAGACCTTTGTGCTTTACTTGAAATTTACTAGTTCAAACCTCATTAATAACATATAACTCGTCAATTTATGAGCGTATTATAAGTTGATGGTAGTCAGATCGTAATGTATTATTCAACAACGCTTATGACTTGGTTCATTATTATATTAACAGGATTGTCATGGTCAAGTTGAATTTTTTCTCAGCAAGTTATGACGTGTCAGGTGAAGAAAAATTCTATAGTGGCTAAATTTTCTTAGATGATACCTCGTAAAAGACTAAAAGAAATTGACACGTGTCATATATGATGGCATGAGAATTTAAAGCTGCTCATTGAAAATTTTAGTGAAAAAGTCGAAAGAGAAGTGTTATGTCTTTTTAAGGTGGCTCTATTTTTTAAACATCATATCATTTGTTTACACATTAAAGTTTATGTCAGTATATGACATCATTACGGTTAGATTTCACAGAAAAAAAAAATATATACAATTACTAAAATGTCCCTGCAATCTTAATTTGGTAAACATTTTTAATGCCATTTTTATTTTTTTAATTATGTACTTATTTTTTTTGTTTTTCCATTTTGACGAATTCATTTAAATGAGTAGTTTAAGTACAAAATTATTTACGTATAATTAACTTTTTTTATCTTTGTTTTTCTTAATACATGCAAAATTAAGTACCACTAATATAGTGATCTTGTAATTGA